CGCTTTTCCACTGGCCAGCCCGAACACAGAGGCCGAAATCATGCCTCACCGCACTCCTGTAGAAAATAAATCGCTATACAAATATATCAGCCTTTATTTACAAACTTGGACACCACACGTGACTATTGACTGACCACGAACAGGTAACTTAGCCTACTTACATTTTCCATTCTCACAATCTTGCTGTATTTTTTATTTTATTTTTACAATTAAAACTAAAAGTCAAGCCTCACTGTAATACAACTGTAATACAAGCCTCACTGAACATGTAACGAGTAAAATATTACTGAAAATTGATTAGTAATGCCTTACACTACTGCGTTACAGCAAAAAGTAATATGTTACTGTAATGTATTACTTTTGTAATGCGTTACTCCCAACACTGCTCAGACCACCCTGTCTGGTACCAACAACTGTGCTGCCTTCAAAAACGCATAAATGACCTTCCTTCTCCATTCTAATGCTCAGTCTTGACTATTTCTTGTTGTGTTACTGTAATGAGCAATTGCACAGGTGGTGAGTATAGTAATATAATATAATATAAAAACAATGGGAGTAAAATGGCTGAATCTGTGAGCAAATTTTTAACATCAGACTAAAAAGTATTATTTTAATATATCTGACCTACTAATGTTATTTATACTTGAGTTGTTTGGAATACTTGTACATACACTCAAGGATTATTAGGAACACCTAATTTCTCATTAATGCAATTATCTAATCAACCAATCACATGGCAGTTGCTTCAATGCATTTAGGGGTGTGGTCCTGGTCAAGACAATCTCCTGAACTCCAAATTGAATGTCAGAATGGGAAAGAAAGGTGATTTAAGCAATTTAGAGCGTGGCATGGTCGTTGGTGGCAGATGGGCCGGTCTGAGTATTTCACAATCTGCTCAGTTACTGGGATTTTCACGCACAACCATTTCTAGGGTTTACAAAGAATGGTGTGAAAAGGGAAAAACATCCAGTATGCGGCAGTCCTGTGGACGAAAATGCCTTGTTGATGCGAGAGGTCAGAGGAGAATGGGCCGACTGATTCAAGCTGATAGAAGAGTAACTGACTGAAATAAACACTTGTTATAACCGAGGTATGCAGCAAAGCATTTGTGAACCCACAACACGCACAACCTTGAGGCGGATGGGCTACAACAGCAGAAAACCCCACCGGGTATCACTCATCTCCACTACAAATAAGAAAAAGAGGCTACAATTTGCAAGAGCTAACCAAAATTGGACAGTTGAAGACTGGAAAAATGTTGCCTGGTCTGACGAGTCTTGATTTCTGTTGAGACATTCAGATGGTAGATTTAAAATTTGGCATAAACAGAATGAGAACATGGATCCATCATGCCTTGTTACCACTGTGCAGGCTAGTGGTGGTGGTGGGGGATGTTTTCTTGGCACACTTTAGACCCCTTAGTGCCAATTGGGCATCGTTTAAACATACCCATCCTCTGATGGCTACTTCCAGCAGGATAATGCACCAAGTCACAAAGCTTGAATCATTTCAAATTGGTTTCTTGAACATGACAATGAGTTCACTGTACTAAAATGGCCCCCACAGTCACCAGATCTCAACCCAATAGAGGATCGTTGGGATGAGGTGGAATGGGAGCTTTGTGCCCTGGATGTGCATCCCACAAATCTCCATCAACTGCAAGATGCTATCCTATCAATATGGGCCAACATTTCTAAAGAATGCTTTCAGCACCTTGTTGAATCAATGCCACATAGAATTAAGGCAGTTCTGAAGGTGAAAGGGGGTCAAACACAGTATTAGTATAGTGTTCCTAATCCTTTAGGTGAGTGTATATAGCAGCACATTTCACAATTCAGCTCATGATCAACTTGTAGATCTGCCAACTCAAGAGGAAAAAAACATTCACAATGTAAAGTATTTCTCGTAACCAATGTTTCGTGTCCCCTGATGGTCTCAAGAAGTAATACCGGTGGAAATAAAGTCAAATAATATGATGGCATGCTACCATGAGTGCCAGGGGCATTGTGAATACTACTCTGTCTAGGAAAGAGTGCTTGTCTTCTCCCTTCTTAATTTGCTCAAGGGAGCATAAATGCTTATTAGCATTGCCACAGTAATTTCTCCTTCAGGGAGACCACTGACAACACCCGCTAAACAGAGTCTTCCCTTAATACTTTATATGATACGTGGGTGTTAGAAAAGCAAAATTATACCACCAGTCACAGCTAGAAGAAACTTTGTGAGCTGCTTTATCTGAACCGACATTTATTCTGCGCCTGCTAAAGTGCTTTTAAAAATGGAAAGTGCTTTAAGAAAAGAAAAAGCAAAAAGAAATCAGCATGCAAATAACGGCTTTTAAATTGTACTTTGCAAGTGATAATCTCGCCAGATCTTAATTACGGTTCATCTACTGCTATTTCAAAAAATAATGATTCAGCAGCAGCTGATTCGCAGTGGCATGCTTACCAGACAAAGTCTTGAATATACAGTATATGCGAATACAAGGCCAAGCAATTTGAAAATAAAGAGCAAGCCTGTTTAGACATGCATCTCGATTGGGAAAGCAGCAGAAATGATGTTCTTTTGGCAGTCCTGTGAGGTGACGTATTGTGCCAGCCCTTGCTTAAATGAGATTGAGTATCCTCTCCATACTGCACAACACAATCTCAAATCACAACTGCTGTACTGTAGTCTTGCTGTCAGATTCACTTCTGTTATGTGTTTATTGGGATAATGACTGTACTGGGAGAATCTGGCTATATAACCACCACACTCCCTGGAGCTCAATCTCCAGGTTTTCTTGCTAAACAGTTCGTAGACTATTGACCATTGCCCTCTTCTGGTGAAAACTACACACTGCATGCCATGAAAATCCATTTTAAGGCCAATAGGGACTATCATGCTACAATCTGGCCCTATGGGGGACCCATTAGAGTAATGTGTGACATAAAAATGTCCTGAACCCAGTAAATTTTTCGACACTTTTGATATACGCTATAGCTCGGGCTGTGTTCAGATTGGAATATAGAATACTGCTTAGTTAGTGCATACTGTGCAATGTAAACTGTATACTGCATCTATTTTTTTAGCCTACAATGTGATACTATTTTACTGTATAGCAGTATGCTAAATGTTGTCACATGACCATATAGTTGGGAAATATGAGGAAAGATGCTGCCCTTAACGACAATGTGAAAGTACTTCGAAATTGTAACATGTTTAAAATGTTACAAAATTTGAGATGGCCCCTGGCCTGAATAATTGAACAATGACAGAAAAAGCAGCAGTAAAATAGATGAATCTGAATGGTAAATGTGTTCTTATGGGCATAATTATTTAATTGTGCCCATATTTTAATTGAAGAATACAATATATCATAATAGAGCTAGTTGAGTAGTTAAATTAAACTGACTGATTTCACTCAACTAGACTATAGGTTTTAATTAATAGCAAATGAATGTGATCTAACTCATGCAATTGTTGAATAATAATAACCCCAAGAATTATAATAAATATTAGATAAAACAATAATAACAATAGAAACATGCCACTCTGTGCCTTCAATTCGGAGTCGAGACATGCGTCTATTTTATTTATGTTTTTATTATTTCTCTTCAAAAACAAAAAAACTTTGGTAACACTTTACTTGAAGGGGTGTGCAAAAGACTAACATGACACCTTCATAATCATGACATGACATAGGTTATGAATATGAAGGAAGTTTTATGCATGTTTGTGACAACTGTCATTAAGCGACATTCGCTCAGTTGTGACATTTTTAATGCAAATATGACATAGTTTGAGATGTCTTTGTTATGTACACCTTGACATAAACCAATACATCATAACCTGTCAATATCTTTGTCATAAAAAACTTGACATTACTAGACAACACAACCTGTCATAAACATGACATTGAAGATTGATTATCAACCTTAAGAAACCACCTAGCTTTATTGGTTAAAATTACATTAAACTGTCATGTGGTTGGTTTTGACATTGGCTGTCATGAAGCCATAACATTTTAATGACAAATTCAATTAGTACCACTGTAGTTGAGGTCACGAAAAAATATTCATGACACAGTTCATTTTGTTCTGCGACAAGTTTGGGGTGTGAAAATGTAACGTTGATGTCTCTACAATAAGCAATAACAGACCAGTGTGTCAAACTCTTGGACGTCTATGCCACAAACTTTATATAGCCTACTTCACATAGTTTTGAAAATACAGCGTTTTGTTGATCATGATAGGCACTGCTTATCGCTGTTGTAAATACTACGGCTTTCTTCTTCCATGAGGGTTTTTGGCGTCACGGCATCTTTGTTTCCAGGCTGATTGTTAAAAAATGGGTCACACGCACGTGTCCTGGAAAATCCTGTGGAATTCAACCAATCAGAAGATGACTTTGAAACTCCTGAAGTGTTTTCAATTTTGTATATGCATCATACATTTAGCCAACGATCCTTGGGCATGACATCTGAAGCTGAGACTAGTGGTTGACCTCTGTTCCAACTTTTTTTGGAGTATGTTGCAGCCATCAAAATCAAAATTTGTTCATATTTACAAAATTTTGTTGGTCAGTGAAACCATTAGAAATCTTTCCTTTGTGCTTTTTTTCAGTTAGCCTAAATATAGGTTAAAGAGAATGAACAAATCACAGATTCTTGATTTTATTGCATTGTAGCCTATGTCCCAACCTCATTCTGGAACTAGGGTTGTAGCCTAGATTTTAGTAGGCTAACTTACCCAACACAGTCTCTGACTAAATCTCACAAATGTTGATATTCAGATGAAATTGAGCATAGTCTTTTATCAAATCAAAGGGTTAGTCCTATCTCATAGCCTAAAAAAAATCTAAATGAAAAAAAAAAAAAATCTAAATCTATTTCTAGTACAGGCCTATTTGCCATAGATAACATATCTCTGAACATAAAGAGGAGTTTTGTCATTCTGTTTCAACCTACTTTCAAGTAGATGAAAGGGGTCTACTACAGACACCCCCTAAACATTAGCCCCCAGCCCCCCAACCAGATTTTCCATAGACTTCCGGTAATACCGGAAGAACCTTTGTTTGTGTATGTCAAGATGGCGGCTGGAATGTATCTGGAGCACTATTTGGACAGTAAGACTATCGTCTTTGTTTCGACATTCATCCCCATAAATAAACATATTTCGTGTTCGCAGTGTCCAGCATGTCTGCACGTTTCATATACATATACTATTTGCAAAAAAGAGCGCGCAACGACACAAAACAGCGCTATTTAGACAGTAACGTTTACGGCTATTTGGCTAACGGGCTAACGGTTTTAAACAGTGTTATGATGTGAATTTTGTTTTTTTTACATTTGTTTGGTGGGTGCGGTGCCGATAAATGTGACAACGTTACTGCTGTTAAAACGTTTAAATGATGTAAATGACGTTAAATACCTGGGAACATTAAAACTCAGTGTCGAGCATAAATGCAGTGTTCCAGCACACAATCGAGTTCGCTACGCGCAACATGACAGATAGAGATCGTTTACTGTAGTGCTAGGACCTTATGGACATATTGCCTGCTATTTGTGTAGAAGATTCATATGTCACTTGATTTGTTTAGGCATAGAAAATTTGCCCTTTGAACTGCAGAGGAACTTCCAGCTGATGCGAGATCTGGACCAGAGGACAGAGGGTGAGTCTACACTGTAGACCTGCCTCTAAATCAATACAGTAATATAGAAAAATATCTTTATATCAATATTACATGTTTTTATTGCGTGACTTAATATGTGGAATAGTACATCTCTTCTAAAGTGGTCATTTTAGTGTCCGTTCCTCATCTAACATGTAGCCTACTTATTACAGTACTTGAAGTAAATTACATAATTCCATAACAGAAAATTGCATTATTTTAAGCAACTTAACCAAACCTAAATGCACATTGTTTGTTAATATTACTCTGTACTTATTTTTATAATTACTGTGAAACCATTTGAAACATTACACTGTAATAGGGGCATCTTCTAATAAAGTTACATTTCTTCTTTCTGTAGATCTAAAAGGACAGATTGATTCTCTGGCTCGTGAATACACAGCTAACGCTCGGACATTGTCCTCCGAACAGAAGCTCTCCCTGTTAAGACAAATCCAGCAGTCTTATGGGAAGTGCAAGGAGTTTGGCGATGACAAGGTCCAGCTTGCGATGCAAACCTATGAGATGGTTGGTGTGGATTTAGCTCATTGCTAATGAACTGTTATTTCAAGTGCAAATTTCATGTTATAAACGTTATTTTAAATTATGATAATATTTCACAATATTTAGATCAAATAAAAGCAGCCTTGGTGAGCATAAGAGACTACTATCAAAAACATTAAAAAGATGGTATCAACACAAACTTTTCAATGATAGTGAATATTATATGTATTGTAAAATGTATCTAATGTACATTTAGTTGCTTTATAACTCCATATGGTGGATCACACTTTATTTATTCTATGCTTTTAGGTGGACAAGCATATCCGAAGGTTGGATACAGACCTGGCTCGCTTTGAGGCTGACCTCAAGGAGAAACAGATAGAAAGCACCGATTATGACTCTACCTCTAGCAAGGGCAACAAGAGTGAGTGCAACATAGGTACTTATGTCTATTAGTGCTGTTCTAACACATGCACATCTCATACTTAAATTTCATGCATCAACAGTGTTTCTGATGGTTTATTTTTTGAAGGCGATCATCGAGGACCCAAGAAGAAGGAGGTGACTCGCACTAGGTCAAAGGTGAAGAACTCTGATGATGATTGCAGCTCCAAGAGCGGACAGAAGAAGGTCAAACTCACACAAGGGTGAGAATCACATACATTTTTTTTACGATATTTCTGTTTTTATAGGTAAAGTGTGTCGTTTTTGTGCCACTTGTGACATCAAACAGAATTGTAGAAACATTCTTTTTTAAACTGGTTTGTATTTTTAATTAAATATTTCTGCTTTGTACACTTAGTATATAAATACTACCATTCAAATGTTTTGTTTTGTTCTGTTTTTTTTTTTTAAAGGAATTAATACTTTTAAGGACAGTTAAATTGATCAAAAGTGACAGTAAAGCCTTTAACAGATTTCGTTTTCAAATAAATGCACTTCCTTAGAACTTTTATTTGTCGGAGAATCACTGTTTCCATCAAAATATTAAGCTACACAATTAATGTCTTCAACAATGACAATAAGAAATGTTTCTTGAGCACCATATCAGCATATTATAATTGTTTCTGAAGGATCATGTGTCACTAATGACTGGAGTAATGATACTGAAAGTTCAGCTTTGCATCACAGGAATAAATGACCAGTTACAGTTAAAACAGTTGTAATAATATTTCAAAATATGACTGTTTTTACTGCATTTTTGGGTTTCAAATAAATGCAGCCTTGGTGAGCATAAGAGACTTCTTTTAAAAACTTTTTTTTTTTTTTTTAAATCTTACAGACCCCAAACTTTTGAATGGTAGTGTATGTGCCACAGACAGGATATATTTTAATAGAGATTTGTTTAGACTGTAAGTCATAGACTGTGTTGTTGAATGGATCAAAGGAGAGGGGAGCTGGAGCCTCCCAACATGTACATAAATATCTAAGAAGTTGTTTTGAAATACATTTTTAATGTTTAGAAATACCAAAGCGTTAGCAGTTTGCCCTACAGCCTGGTAAGCAGCATTTACTTTTGCCTTTCTAACTGTTTCTGTCAGTGTAAAAGGGGGGGAAATAATAAAATTGGATTAAGATGGAACTCCGATTTACTAGTTCCTTTTAAATTCCAGCTCTGAGTTTTCAACCCCGGCTGTGAACTTTGGGAACGTGCACCCCTCGGATGTGTTGGACATGCCAGTGGACCCCAACGAGCCCACCTATTGTCTCTGCCACCAGGTTTCATACGGAGAGATGATTGGCTGTGACAATACAGACGTGAGTTTGCTTCCTCATGCACTGTGACAGAGGCCAACACGCTCACAGCCACACATATCTTTTTGCTTACATATAGATATTTATTCTAAATTAATTTTTTTAATATTTATTTCCCCATTAAGAGTTAAAATGGAGATACCTAGTCATGTACCAGGGCTCCAGACTGCGCAAAAATATGATTATATTGATCTTTATAATATTATGTTATATTGTTGCTCAGAACACTATCGGCAACAAGATAAATTTACACGTTATGATTTAAAAAGTGGCATGTAATGCCTTTTCTTACCTGCATATTCTCTGATGAGAGAGTAGCCTATCACATCTTTTGTTGTATTGATATAACAAATGAGATGATGAGTATCAGTGGTTCAGTGGGGAAAAAAACACTTCAGCAATTCTTATTCTCAAGATATTTTAGTCTATGCTGTTTTCTGTAGCGCACGTACCATCCAATAATCACACTAAGCTTCATGGTTTGTTACTTTTAATATGTTTGCCACTTTTAATAAACAATATCTCAGTTTTTAAATTCTTAAATTTAAATTTTTAAATTAATGTTGCCGTGATTGTAGCACCTCAAGCGGGGCATGAACCGATCATCTCTTCTTTACTTCTAGTTATATGTAACGGATGTAATAAAAGATGTTACCAGATAATTAATGGAAAATGCCACCCCCCGCTTTCATTTTTTGAATAAGAACACTAACAATTAAGAATCAGTTCGCCGCCACACCAGCGGAGGGCGCTTGAGCGCTCCTGTGAAGTAGACTATTGAGACTAGATTTGTCCCGGGTGCAATCTCAGAAGTAAAGCTGACGCGCCAAGGGAAAGACGCTAATCCTGTCTGTCTCTTTACTATTTCACAGGTAAATAAAATACACTTTAGACGTAGTTCTAACTGTTCATGAGATAACGGGAAGGTTTAAGGAAGTAACTGTGAAGCGTTTTAAGTAACTTTTTTCGTGTTTTAATGTGTTTATATAGATTTGATTAACGCAACGTTTATAGATATAAACAGATTAATCAGTTAATAAATACATTTAAAAGTGTTTCACGACAGATGACATTGTTGTAATGTTTAATTACATTTGTAATGCAAGGGTATTTGTTATATTTGTGTTTAAAATGATTAAGTTGAATATATGTGACGCAGCTATAATTTAAACGCCATTTTGAGTGCTTTACGAGTACACGTGTCATGTAAATGTGTGACACGAGGTAATGAGAGTGAAATGGAGTATAGAACATGGCGTTCGAGTTTCAGATGTATTATTGATTTATGTATTTTTCATACTGGGTACACTTAAGCTTTACACATTGGGGTGTGAGAATATTTGGCTTATGTGTAAAAGTGAGATTTATGTGAATTTTTCATGTGTCATTTTTATATTTGTTCTTCTATGCATATAGTATGTAAGATATAAAAATATATTACTTTGTGGTTATGGATCACAGGAGCGTATTCAGGTACTGAAAGTATGTATGAGTCATTACATATCAGCTATGTGCAGATAAAGTTATTTTTCTGAATGTAATTCAAGAAATGTTTACAGTTGTTACTATTGTGCAATCTCAGAAGTAAAGCTGACGCGCCAAGGGAAAGACGCTAATCCTGTCTGTCTCTTTACTATTTCACAGTTCACAGGTGCACAGTGTTTCACTGCCTGTGTACCCTTGCTGCCAGCCCAGATTTCCCCTAGGTCTGAGGCCGGTAACAATTGGGGGCTCGTCCGGGATTGACTGCACATCTCGTCGGGGACGGTTGTCATAGCAACGGTGGGATCCTGCGCCCAGTGTTTCAGGGAAGGCTACTTCGCTGAGTGTCCTCCAGAGAACAACTGCCACAGGTGATACAGCAACATGACTACTTTCAGCCCACGGCGAGTGCTGCTCGTCAAGATCCAGAAGAAACTTGCAGATTTGAATTTGAGGCAGTTACAGACTGTAGCCAGTTCGATAGATGACGGCCGTGAAGCTGACTATGTGGTAAATTTAAATGAACTTGAACTTTATGATCTAATTGTCGACTACATCAGAAGTGAAGAGTTAAAAGCTGCAGAAGATGAGGGCATGACTCAACTTCTCCTCCTGTTTGACCTGCTCAACGACGTTCTATCAGCGCCAGGTACCGAAGCAGCTGAACCTGGTAACGTGGCAACCGTCATGACGCAAGATTCAGCAACACAGAACCGAGGAGAAGCTGGTACAACACCAATCCCTATAGACAGCGATACACACACACAACCATTTCACATGGACAGAGACACTAACACTCAATCGTTACACATGGACAGAGAGCCTCGTGTGCACGTATCCTTTCAGGGCAGAGACACTGTCGATGTACTTAACAGGGAAGTCACCTCATCAACGTCTGGTATGCCCGGCCACAGTGGTGTTGCTCCGTTGGGTAGGATGAACTCATCTAACACTTCTGACCAGGTTGTAAGATTGTCTGATGTTTCAGCTCTGTTGCCACGAAGAGAGTTTAAGTTACATGGTGGTCAAATTTGTGATGCAGGTTGTGACATGTCTTTCAATTGTCTCTGTAAACAAATGGATGAAGGGTTGCAAGAGGGTTTCAGTGGGTCTGAAATTATCAGAGCAGTCCTCAAAATAACCAAACCTGGTACATTCAGAGAGATGTTAGTTAATAAGAATGATCTCACTGTTAATGAGCTGAAAAGATTTCTGCGCTCTCACATTAGAGACAAAAGTGTGACTGAACTTTTTCAAGAGTTGACTAATGCTAAACAAAGTGATAAAGAAAGCCCACAACAGTTTCTTTACAGAATAATGGGTCTGAAACAGCGCATACTTTTTGAGTCACAACATCCTGGTGTGGGGTTTAGCTATAGCCAAGAACTTGTTCAGGGCACCTTCGTACACACACTTTATCAGGGGCTAAGTGAGAAAAACAGCCATGTCAGACACGATCTTAAACCGTTGCTGTCAGACATGCAGGTTAGTGATGACTTGCTCTTGGAGCAAATCACAAAATCAACAGCTGAAGAAGAAGGGCGACTGAAAAGACTGGGTTCAGGAGGTAAAACCAGATCAGCTACTGTAAGCGCAGCTCAGCATTCCCAAAGTGAATTGAACACTCCAACAAGAGTTGACACTGAGTTACAAGCAAACCGTGATGCTATCAAAGAACTAACGGCTCAAGTTTCCTCTCTAACCAAGCATCTAGCTCAGATGTCCACCCCAGCTGAGACTGTGAAGCTGCAAGACTGTCGTTCACCTACTGTTCGTGCTCAACCACCATTATCTGAGACCAGAGGTAAATGCAATGACTGTGTAAAGAACAACAATATGAACTGTGTTCACTGCTTTGTCTGTGGCCAGGCAGGACATCGCGCCATTGGCTGTCTCCAACGAAGGTTGTCGGGAAACGGGAAGAGGTCGCTGGAGAGGGGCAGTCAGCGATCCTAAGCAGTGAGGAGCCCCGAGAAAAGGTCAACAAACCAAAACGCTCACAGTCAAACTCACAATACCAGCCAGATCCAAAGAAAAGAGTAGCTCAACTCATTGGTAAGCGATGCATGGTCTCATGTTCCATTAATGGGGTACCTCTTCAGATGCTTCTTGATTCAGGGGCACAAGTGACCATGGTGAGCAAATCGTGGATTGAACAAGCACTACCCTCTCTGAAAATACAGCCGCTTGGATTGTTGTTCGTTAATCACTCTCTCGAAATTTCTGCTGCTAACAATACTCAGGTTCCGCTTGATGGATGGGCAGAGATCGATCTTCAAATATGTAGCCAGCAACATGGGCGTGTGACAATCCGAGTACCACTACTTATCAGTCGTGATTGCAACTACCCTCTCTTAGGTAGTAATGTAATTTCGGAAATGATCAAAGCAAATCTCGATCAGCATGATAACGTTGATGTGACTCAAATACTTAAAGAAGCTTTGAGTGTCGGTGAGTGTGACGTGGAAGCATTAGTCTCTACACTCCAGACTATTAGACCCGCAGAAATTCCAGAGTGTATTGTACGCCTTGGCAAGAAAGGTATAAATATACCCGCCGGCAAGATTCGTGAAGTGCAGTGTAGAGTTCGAGGATGCCACAGTGGAGGTACGATGATGTTTCAGCCTTGCCCTGAGAATCATTGCCTGGAGGGTCTGGAAGTGTTCCCAGCTTTAGTTGATGTTCCTGTTGGATCATTTAAGCGCATCAAAGTCCCGATACAGAACTCGACAAAACATGCCATCAATCTTGCAAAGAAGACCATTCTTGGTACTCTTGAGGAAATACTTGATCTAAAACCAATCAAACATTCATCTATAAACCGTGAGCCTACACCTCAGAATACAGCACACTTGTGTTCAGCTCAATTGTGTTCTTGTGAGCAGACTTTGAGAACAAGTAGGGAAGCACTTAAAACCAACCACCAGACCAAAGGCAAATGGCATCCTCCTGTCGATCTGTCTCATCTAGCTGAGGAAGAGCAGGAGATTGCAAAGCGTTTGTTATATGACCTGTCAGATGTCTTTGCTGAAGATGACACCGATATTGGTTGCATTTCTGACTTGCAACTCAAGATCTACTTAAAAGATGACATTCCAGTCCAAAAGTCCTATAATGCAGTTCCAAAGCCCTTGTATAGAGAGGTTAAGGAATACGTCCAAAAGCTGCTAGACCATGGATGGATCAGGAAGTCTGTTTCACCTTATTCCTCCCCTGTGGTTTGCGTAAGGAAAAAGGACATGAGCTTACGTCTTTGTGTGGACTTTCGTGGATTAAACAGTAAGACCATTCCCGACCGCCATCCACTTCCACGTATTCAGGACTTATTAGATAGCCTGGGAGGTTACTCTTGGTTTTCTATCCTTGATCAGGGCAGTGCATATCACCAGGGCTTTGTTGAAGAGAACTCTAGGCACCTGACAGCTTTCAGTACGCCGTGGGGATTGTACGAGTGGATCCGTCTTCCTTTCGGCCTTTCCAACGCACCGGCGGCTTTCCAGAGATGTATGGAAAATGTGTTGAGTGGTCTGAGGGATGAATGCTGTTTTCCTTACTTAGACGATGTTCTCTGTTTCTCCAAAACATTTCAAGATCACGTCAAAGATTTGAAGAGAGTGTTTTGCCGCTTGCGGGAGCATGGTGTGAAATTAAGACCAAAAAAGTGT